CTTCCATCCGACCCTATCTGGGGTTCTGCTCCTCCACCCTATCAGTCTGCCCGATCCTATTCCTACTCCCTCCGCTTTTCTGACCCGCTCAGTTCCTTCAGTTCCGCTCTTGTTGCCCCACCTGATGATTAGTCTGCCCAACCACCTCACCGGTCCACTCCTAGACTAGGAACCACTCAACTGGTCCTATCTCCATTTAGTATCATAGTTCCGCTTTTCGGATCACTGGTAATCCCTATACCCGAGTAATTTCTGATCCATTGTGTACATACTATTCTCTGAGCCTCTTCTTGTATGTCTCAGTTATCTCTCTTGTAATCCTGTACACTCAGCATAGCCTTCTGCTATGCTATGCTACTTACTTAGAGTATATAAACATATGTACATCTGTCTGTAGATCCTTAGTCTGAATATTACCTTTTCTAAGCCCTGCCTCTTCTGTCCTTTGACTTAGGCTTAACCCAAGTCAAAACTCCTGTTTGCCGACCTAGGGGATTGACTCCCTAGGTCGGCCGCTTCCCTGCTCCTCCACTTCTCCATTCCTCCGCTTCTCTGTTCCTCCACTTCTCCGTCCCTCTGCTCCTCCATCCCTCCGCTCCCCTGCTTCCCTGTTCCCTCCATTCCCCCATTCCCCTGTTCCCCCGTCCCCCTGCTCTTCCGACTCCCTGCGCGTCGGCCGCCTTTCCCATGCATCGGAACTGATCCCTGCACTCTTGCATATCCATCCCCTCTGTTCTGCCCTGCTTTGGACTTCATCCAAGCAGTTCCTTCCGCTCCGCTTCTACTGTTGGTTCCGACCACAGTAACCTTCAACCTCTCTCCTGTCGGGTGGAACAACCCCCACCCGACTTTCCCGTGCTCACCTAGTAGTCCATCAGTCCTCCTTTGGAGGACCCCCATTCCAACATCCTGTCGGAACTCATGGAACTTGTGTTGGACTACATTCCAAAATTAGGGGCACATACTCGGGTAAGGGGCGCAGCACACGAGCTGAAGCCAAGCCCCTCAGAATCTGCCTTACCCCTGAGCAAGGTCTTAACACTGACCTTGGACTTACCTTAGGCGCTACAGATGCAGGGATAGTAGTGTATGTTGACACTGACTGGGCATCTCAGCCCCATCGCCACTCTATGTCAGGCTATATCGTGTTGTTAAATGGTGGTCCAGTAGCATGGAGTGCTCGTAAGCAACCTCTAATCATGCTCTCAATGGCTGAAGCCAAGTACATTGCTTTAACGACTGTCACAAGAGAGATCCTATACCTGCAGCTACTGATTGAAGAGTTGTATGAGTCACCCCCTACCCCAGTATACTGCGACAACCAGGCTGCCATAGCGCTCACTTCTAACAACAAGTTCCAATCCCGTACCAAGCATATCGATCTTTGATACCACTTCATCCACGCTCACGTCAAGAATGGCACATTTGCACTTACATACTGCCCCACTGATGACAATATCACAGACACTTTCACCAAAGCTCTACCACAGCCACGACTTCAGAAGTTACACAGGCTAATGAGCTTGGATTGCACTTGCGGGGGAGTGTTGGATTCAGGAATGAAAGAGCAAGAGATAGTAAAGTGAGACAGTACGAGTGCAACCTGAGAATGTGAAGAATGATGCATTGACGTCAGCCGAGAATACTAATATTGAACTGTCAATTCCTAGCTACGGTATATTTCTTTATCGCTATGCTACTTACTATAAACCATCTCAGTCCTTTACTCAAGACTGAGATGTGAGTACCTAGTTTTCCCATCTGCGTAAATTGAGCTAACATACCCATAGATTATATTCTTATTGTTAGGTACCGTGCTGACTCAGGAAGCAGAGGGGTCAGGGCTTGGCTTCAGCTCTTGCGCTGCACCCTTAGCCGAGTATGTACCCCGAATTTGGAGCGGGTCTGATGTTGTCCGACGATAGGACAAGTGGACCGCTTAGGTCTGCCTTGAGGGTCGGGAGGTGAGAGCTACTAGCGGAGGTTCCTACTAGGAGCAGAGCAGATGGAGGATAATGGGGAGGGTGGAGAGGAGCAGGGGGAATACTTGATAGGGGTGGAGAAGTAGAGAGAAGACTTAGAGCACGGCTCTAAGTTGGAGTGGAGGGTCAGAGGTGACAACAAGGTGAAACTTGTGTCCAGAGGAGGCAAGGTCCTACTGATAATTCTCACAAGTAGTAACTGCAAGAAGACAAGTAATATTAAGACTGGGGAAAATATCTAAGTACAGGATATGTTATATACTTCTATGTATGAGGCAGTGATCAGGATAACTATGTTGTAAAGCTATGTAGCAAGGATATAGTTTGTAAGTACTTTACACAGGCGAAGACATAAGTCGGAGCGGATATCGATATGTACGTGTCGGATCAGTGATCGAGCGGTAATAGGAATTACCGGTGATCTGGAAGTAAGGGTCTATGTACCGAAGGGGAAAGTATATATCTAAAAGGGGAAAGAGGTTCCAGTTGAATGGAGACGTTATGGAAGGGGACCGGTTGGGCGATCGAGCAGAAGCGTAAGGGTGGATGCAGATGATGATTGGACAGAGCGGAGGATGGATGGAGCGGAGGGGGTCGGAAAGCGGAGCAGACATCAATATTGGAGCGGTCGGATCAGGTATATGACACTTATCAGGTACTATACTAGTTACATTGAGTCCTTTACTCGAGACTGAGATATTATATTCTTATTGGCTCCTCCTGTTCGTGTTTGTTCGGCTTGAATAACTACAGTGGCTCAAAAAAGTGTCCAAATGTTTATGCATTTTCAAATAATTGAACAATAGCAAGGCAGAACCAAACAATGACCAATGGGTATAGGGACATGTCTGGAAGCCCTATATCATGGCTCAAATCTGGGATATACAGCGTGGGAACTCGACCATATATGGGCAAGCTATTGTAATTCTAAATACATGACTCATTCGGACACTTTTTTGACTTTTTATTGAAATCACAAAATCAGACCATTCATACATTATACTCTTAATTAAAGCGGTGTCATAATGATAATATGGTCTGATTGCAATATTATTTGAATATATAAACCCACATAAGATCATGAAATTCAACATAATTATCATGAAGCCCATCTCCTCTGCTCACAAGGATAATATCCTTGTTCTCTGTACCTCTGGTTTATCTACTAGGCAAATTGCCTCAAAAACTGGTCTCGGCAAGTCTACTATTACTACAGTCATAAAGCAGCACATGCCAGAGAAGGAAAATCATCAAATGGGATGTCCTCCCAAGCTTACTCCACAGAACAAAAGAGCTATTGTTCACCAAATTCTATCTGGCAAGGCTTCAAATGCTACCCAAGCTACCAAGTTCATCAATTCCATCATCTCCACTCCTGTCTCCACCCAAACTGTTAGAAACACCCTCAAGGCAGCCAATCTTAAGGCTGTAAACAAGAAGAAAAGACCTCTTCTCTCTGTAGCTCATAGGAAGTGAAGACTGGCCTTTGCTTTAAAGCATCAACATTGGACTGTGGAAGACTGGAAGAAGGTTATTTGGTCAGATGAAATAAAAATCAATAGAATGGGGTCATATGGCCAGGAATATGTGTGGAAAAAGGCAGGAGAACCATTAGGAGAAAGAGAAGTCAAGGGTACACTGAAGTTTGGAGGAGGAAGTATGATGGTATGGGGTTGTATGGCATGGTGATTCTTTGTGAGGTAGAAGGATGGATGAATGCAGATCAGTACATCTCCATTCTAGAGGAGTGTCTACTCAAAAGCATGCAGAAGTCAGGAATTGATGAAGAAGACATTATCTTTCAACAAGATAATGACCCCAAGTACACCTCAAAACTGGCTACAACATGGTTTGAAGACCATGCTATCAATGTTCTATCATGGCCAGAACAGTCTCCAGACCTCAATCTCATTGAACATCTCTGTGGATTACTCAAAAGACTACTTGCTGCCTATCAAGATCCTCCACAGGGGCTATTTGAACTATGGGAGAGAGTTGCAGCAGAGTGGAAAAAGATTGCTGAAGAGAAGTATCAAAAATTGATAGAAAGTATGCCTAGGAGAATTGCAGCAGTTATTAAAGCCAAGGGGGGTAGCACCAAGTACTAAAATCATAAAATAGTCTTGGTTAAATACAAAGTCAAAAAAGTGTCCGAATGAGTCATGTATTTAGAATTACCATAGCTTGCCCATATATGGTCGGGTTCCCACGCTATATATCTCAGATTTGAGCCATGATATAGGGCTTTCAGACATGTCCCTATACCCTTTGGTTATTGTTTGGTTCTGCCTTGCTATTGTTCAATTACTTGAAAATGCACAAACATTCGGACACTTTTTTGAGCCACTGTATATGATGTTGATGGGTGGGCTGAGGTTATTATATGATATAGACGGGTGGGACTATCGAGTGCCAAGTGCCAAGCTCCAACTACCGAAATTTTAATGAACCGAGCATCATGTACCGAGTTCTGGGACCCAGGACCCGGGTCTCAACACTCGAATATTTGATATCTAGCACCCTTCCAATTATCTGGTATTTCATTGACATACTAACATTGCAATGAATGATAATCCATCATAGAAAGGTCAGTTTCAACTACCGAAATTTGACTGAACCAAGCATCATGTACTGAGTTCCGGGACCCGGGTCTCAACAGAAATATTTGATATCTAGCACCCTTCCAATGATCTGGTATTTCATTGACATACTAACATTGCAATGAATGATAATCCGTCTTTGAAACCTAAGTTCCAACTACCGAAATTTGAATGAACCAAGCATCATGTACCAAGTTCCAGGATCTGGGAGTCCCGGGTCCCGACACTCAAATATTTGATATCTAGCACCCTTCCCATTATCCGGTATTTCATTGACATATTAGTATAGCAATGAAATGATAATCCATCTTTGAAAGCTAAAATCAAGGTTCCCTATCTGATCCACCCTATCTCCACCACCTTTAAAGTCTGTGGACATCTGGCATTGACCATCTGATTTCCCAAGATCAACACCATCATGAATGTGTCTTCCACCTCCGATATTGAAATAACCTTCTGGCACACTTGGGCCTTGACAGTCACTCATGAGGCATGTGAATATACCGAACAGAAATTCATTGCCGAGAAAACAGGAGGAGACCCAGTCATACCTTCTCCTAAGCTAGACACCAATCTGGTGATGGCTTGCGATCAATTGGTGGATTGCCTCATAAAGGCATATAACAATCCCAGTGGGTCTTCCCACAGATTCGGACAGTCTATTTGATCATTCAAATTGCTTCACAGTTCGGATGCAGATTGATATTGCAAGATACAGCAAAATAATCTCCCTGAAGGACACTGGACATAATGAAGAAAGAGAGGCGAGGTTGCTTGAGAGGTGTCCTCCTGGCCATGAAGGTACAAAGTTGGTCGACATACCCACCACAGTGCTCGATGCTACCAGCGCCATCATTGCGTGGTACCTCCCAGATGCCCTGACGGAAACCACCCAGGTGGGTAATATATTTTGTTACTCGATGGATATGGAATATGAAATGGGAACTCCAGAAGGAAATTCTGGCAGCCTCCGATTTGCTCAGTCCGAGCCTTGCAAAAAGTGTAAAGGTTGATGGGAGTTGGCAGACTAATCAGGATTGGTTCAAACCAAGCTCGGAAAATGATGGCATATCTCCCGGATGCATCAATCTATCTCCGGCTTGGTTTCAACAGGGGCACAAGGTGGCATCTCATGAGATGATGGTTTCTGATAGTTACACTGACCAATCTGGTAGAATCTGTTGGACCCGGCGGTATCTGCCTCATTGAAGGGACCATTCTCCGAGAATATTCTCAAAGCCATTGCCAGGCTGGCAGCCATTGCATCAGCTGCACTCAGGGTGATGCATCCTGAGCAGTACTGGGCAGGGATACAAGCCTTTTTAAGCCTCGGACAATCAGCCGAAAGCAAGAATCTTCCGAGGATGTCAGAGACCCTCCAGTACTGGGCATCCGTGTTTAACACCCTCACCGTCATTTCCAATCAGCAAACCCCCAATCATCGAGACCACATATCCATTCCTGAATGCTTCAATATTCTCACCACTGTGGGTAGTTATTCGAATGCTCGCATGAGTATGCCAAGTCTTCAGCTGGAGTTCATGTACGAGCCCGGCTGTATGATCGCGTTTTCAGGAAGGATCGTAAGACATGGGGTTCATGAAGTGGAAGGGGATAGAATTGCTTGGGCATGGTACATGAGGGATTCTGTTCATATTTATGCCGGGATTCCCTCATGTGGATGGGCTAGGATGGATTGCATACATACTCCATCCTGGCAAGGATAGAACAGGCACATAGCTTAGTACCCATGTGATAGTACCTACTGTCAAATACCAATTACCAATGTTCAAGTGCCAATAATCAAGCATCAAACAGGCAAATGTTCGACATTTGATACCCGGACCTCGGTACTCCACTCCTGGAACTCGGCATTCAGCACTAAACACCTGGAAGCCGGTAATCGGTATATGGTGTTTGGTACTCAACACCCGGACATCGGTACCCGGAGCTCGGTATTCGGTACTCAGTACAGTGATTTGTCCAATTTACAAAATGTGTATTCCAGGTTTCAGTACTCAGCACTTGGTACTTGAGGCCTGGAACTCGGAGCTCGGTAGTCAATGCCTGGCACTCGGCATTCGGCACCTGGATTGCACACCCAGAAGTCGGTAATCAGTATACGGTGTTCAGTACTCAATGCCCAGAACCCGGAACCTGGAGCTCGGTACTCGGTACTTGGGACTCAGTATGGTGATTTGTCCAATTTACAAAATGTGTATGCCGGGTTTCAGTACTCAACACTCGGTACTCGAGGCCCGGAACTCGGAGCTCGGTAGTCAATGCCCGGCACTCGGCATTTGGCACCCAGATCGCACACCTGGAAGTTGGTACTCAACACCCAGAACATGGAACCCGGAGCTCAGTACTCGGTACTCGGTACTGTTCGGTGGTCAGTACTCGACACCCAGACCTTGATGCCCGGACCTCAATGGTTGATACCTGGAACTCAATGGTCGATGCTCAGTACCCGGAACTTGATACACTGAACTTGATACCCGGATGTCGATACTCGGCATTCGGTATTTGGTGTTTGGTGTTCAGTGTTTGGTACTCGACACCTGGACCTTAGTTATGTTAGTTCCTAACCTTGGTACTCGATGCCCGGTACCCAGAACGTGATACCCGGAACTCGACATTGAGTCAAAGATCTGTACAACATACGTCTAAGGGCATGAACATTTGATACACTAACATTTAATAGGGATCATCCCCTCTGGCTCTCTTCAACCGGGCTAGGGTGTCAGTGTACATATCAATCTCCACCATCTTATCACGGATGCCCTCCTGATGGTCCTGAATCAATGACACCAGGCATTCCCTAATCCACTTCAGTCCCACCAGTGATGGAGCCGGGTTGCTGTCCAGCTGCTCTGGAAGGATGAAACCATTGTCCTCAACGCCGCTCTAGATCGGATTAGTGATCTATCAAGGAAGTTGGGTATAATGCTTACTAGCCAATGCTGGTAGTGAAAGTGACAGGAATCTATTACCCGATCCCATTGCCATGGTTGGTTAGGGATTGTAGTGTCCCCCATCCACCATGGAGTATCATAGGAGGATACGATCCGGGAGGGTTCTCCGTGATCCCAGATCAGATGAAACTCAGATAGGTGGGATGAAAAGATGTGGTCTGGAACCGCGTTCCATGTGAGCTGAGGAAACAAGTGAAGAATATGAGCGATCGGGGGTGGCATAACCGAAATTATGTTCCTTGCAGCTGAGTACTGCAGAATCGGTGTCACAAAAGTCTGTTGGCAATCTCAGCATATTGCCAACCACAGTCATCTGTCTGATGGCTTACAGTGATCTCCCATTGGATTCCGGCTTTAAAGTACATTATCCGAGCTGAAGGAACATTGTTCTCAGCAGCCTCCATCTGATATTGACTGATACAGGCTTGAACGCACAATGCAGCCATTGCCAATGTAACTGCAATATCTGCAAGACTCATTGTGGGGGGTTTATATTCATTGTCGGAATCCTCAGTGGCAGAAGTAGATGCAGGAGGTGCAAAAGTGGATGCAGGAGGTGCAAAAGTGGATTCAGGAGGTGAATTTAAATCAGACATGGGCAATGCAGGAGTAGGACGCTAGCAATGATAATGACAGTTTTTTCAGATGGGATCCACTGATGGATTGATAAAATAATTCAAACTCTGACATGGGCTGACCCGGCCCCTTGCCGAGACTCAATTGTTGGGATCAAATCATATATCAGCAGAACATATTCATAATTCATTCATCTCGGGCATTTATTAACATGCTCTGCAGGTCTTGAAACGCTGCCTGAGCATCCTGCGCCAGTAATGAATACATTTGGGATTGCCTTCCGGAGTAGCAAGCATGACCCGGAAGGTGTTTCACCAATGATTCCCTCATCCAGTTGCCCCATTGTGTTGATTTCCACAAGAAGAAATTACACGTCCAATCCATCTCCAATTCCACCAACATCAGTTCTTCCTTCCATCGATCCCGTAGTGCCTTTGCCCGAAGCCAATGAACTCGGTAAAATTCACGCGGGTCCGGTCAGATTGCAGGCATTTGTCAAGCAAGCCGGAACTCACATTCCTCATTCCATGAGTGATCCGGACCCCCCAAATCTACTTCGATAGACCAGAACCAAGCAAGAGACTCATTTCGCTGACCTCGGGCATTACAATCGCCAATGGCTGTGCTGATTTTGAGCTGCTCCTGAAGCAGGGGTTTATATTTTTCCAGCTGGTCTTGGCCCGGCTCAAGTTTCATCATTTGCTTCCTTGTCTTGGTATATATGCTGGCATGGAGGGACACCGCCTGCTGCACTGATGTCACCTGGGACCAAGCTCGGGTTTTCAATGCTTGAGATTTGGCTTGCCTGACTGCTGTTCGGAAGAGTATTGCCTTGTTGCACAAGTGAATTCAGAGGTTGTGAAGGGCATCATTGGCCTATCCTTCATGAAGCGACAACTCCAGTGGAATCAGATCCTCTGCCATACAACATTTGGATCGATCTACCCCAAGGTTTGATGGCAATGGGATTACAGTGAGCTCGGGGGAGTTTGTCCATGTATCGGACTTCCCGATGAAATCCTCCGGGTCATCATTGAGATCATCGAGAATGTCTATATTCAAATCGTCAGGGTCGTCATCTGCATCAAATCCCTCTCCCAGATGCGTCAGAGCAGTCTGAGTGAATGCATCTATCTGGCCTTGTAGACAATCGCATTGCCGGGCGATGTCTAATCTCTGAGTCTCTGTAGTTCTTTTTCCTATTCTTCGGACCTCGATGTGCAATGCAATTTGAGCCTCTTCAATTGCTAGGCCCATTGATATCCATGTTGCCACAGATCTGTGAGAGGGTGCTGCATGACGGGCATTACCCTCCTGCAGCAGTCTAAGCTCTATCTCCTTTTTGCTTGGTGCTGGGTTCAAAATGAATTCAGACTTCAATTGAGACAGAGTGATCTCACCCTTCTTGATATTAATCTCATATATATCCATCGGAGCTGGATCTTGTATTCTGTTGGACTGAGCAATCCTCTCACTTGCTAACCAGCCTGTCTTTAAGTTGGCTGGTGCGGCTTTGTCGAGTCTGTTGAAAGCCTTTCCACTTTCGGCGATGCCATTCTTTGCCTGCTTGTATTTCCGGCAAAGGGTCCACATAATACAGTGAATACTTCCCGTATTATATGGACACCTGAAGTTGAGATTCTGCCGAGTGAGACGGGCCATCCGAGACAGGCCCAGGTGTAGGTGTGCCCTGGTAGAGTCGATGGGCCGATAGGCATCAGGGTACCCGACACTGATGAATGGGCCAGCTGTGTAGTATATGATAGCTAGCTATTGGAGATAAGGGAAAGTACATGATGATTGAAGCGGGTGGGCCTGGGGTGTAGATATGGATGGGCCCAGTGAGGTGGATAGGATCGTGAACTTGGTAGATAGGGATGGGCCCAGTTAGATGAATGGGATTGCGACTTCGGTAGATAGGGATGGGCCCAGTTAGGTGGATAGGATTGCAAACTCAGTAGATAGGGATGGGCCCAGTTAGATGAATGGGAGTGTTACTTCGGTAGATATGGATGGGCCCAGTTAGGTAGATAAGATTGCAAACTCGGTAGATAGGGATGGGCCCGGTGAGGTGGATAGGATCGTGAACTCGGTAGATTGGGATGGGCCCAGTTAGATGAATGGGATTGTGACTTCGGTAGATAGGGATGGGCCCAGTTAGGTGAATATGATTGTGACCTTGGTAAATATGGATGGGCCCAGTGGGGTGGATCGGATTGCGAACTCGGTAGATACAGATGGGCCGAGTATGGTATGGTAGGTATATGCAATTCACAGCATGATACATACATCTCGGTAGACACGGATGGGCCAAGTATGGTATGCTATATGCATGGTATAGGATTCCAATCTCAGTGGACACGGGTGGGCCCACCAAGAGCTGATCAATGTGTACACCTAATATGTATGTATGCATAACTACCTAGACGAAAACAATCTACTTGAAGCCAATGCCGAGCATAGGTGAGCTCACTACTGAACATTGATGGCCCGGCAGGTATGATGGAACTGGTAAAAATCACCAAACCTGATGTAAAGTGGGCCGTGAATCTACTACCGAGAACAACACAGGCAATGAATGACCGGGAGGTAGGGCTGAACTGGGGAACCCGGCACACTTAGTTGAACTTGCAATGGAATTGCTACAAGATGGATAATAATAAAGACAAATGATACTGAAGTTACTGCTGGAGAATGCAGCACTTACAGACAACCGGTAAATAGTGGGCAGAAATACATTTGTATGACGCTGGTCAATGAAAGGATGTATGAATGTACATGATTAAACTAAAACTACCGGGCAACTACCAGACAACTACCAGTACACTACTTCTCAGACTTGTCGGGGGTGGAAGGGATGCTGGACAAATGAGAACCGCTCGGCAGAGTGGGAGAGCCGGCAGGAAAAACTGCGGAGGCAGAGGTGGTACTGGGGCCATGTGCTCCACTGGCTTTGGATGGATCCCAAATGGTGGTCCACTCTTTCCCCACTACCGAGACACCCTGGTCCACAGATTGGATGGCCTCATGGGTACCCGGCAGTAGAGCAAGCCAAGCAGGGGGTATTGGGCCAAAGGGGTGGCCTTCGGGAGGAGCGTCGAGAGGCTGTCCAGCTCTCAAACCCCTGACACTGTTGGCGACATGTCCGATGGACATGGTGTTGTTGGCGGTCTTGATTTCGTCCTCCCGGAGCCTGTTCTCCATGAGGGCAAATCTGCTGCCCCAGTCTTGGTCCAAAGCAGTGACCCGAGAGTCCATCTGCTGATGGAAGGCCTCTGCACGATCGTCCAATGTCTTGAGCAAGGCATTGAACTTCCGGCTGAGGGCCTCAACGCTCTTGAATATATCAAGAGCCGTCGGCTGTGCGACAGATAGGTTGGGGCCGACGTCCTGCCAGGCTTCGGGGACATTTGGGCGGGTTGGAGGATCGTTGGGAGGAGCGAAGTTGACATTGACGTCATTGTCGACAGTGGGGGTTTGTCACGAATTCCCAACACAAATCATTTTTCTTTCCTCGGTTTTCCTTCGGCTATGTCCCATACCCAAACCAGTCACGTGACACCACTACCTTTCACATTATCACATCATCACCATGTCACAGCTTCACCTCTTCACATTTCACAAATCACATCTCCGATCGGATCTCCTACACCCAGGGCTAGAACTATATGTCTTCCTATCACTTAATCTCCGTCTCTGACATCATTGCTTATATATCGCGACGTCATACTACGTCATGCGCAGTATCGTACGACTCTTTTCTCATTGGCTGATTATTTACAGACTCAGATATCTCCGATTCAATGTTATGTATATAGGTAGGGTAGTTAGCGTAATCTCTCCTTAGACTTAACCTCTTCGTTCCTACCCAGTGTAGACTCAGACGTTCACTCTCAATATCATCTCTTTGCTCTTATCCTTGACGAGTCCTAGTGGTTGTGTTAGGCCTTTACCATTTGGTGAACGCTGATCATAACAGGGTTGGTACTGGACCGGGCTGGGCCAGGAGCACAATGGCTGGGACTGAAGGAAATTAATTAAGATTTATTGTGATGAGGGAATCGACTTACTGTGTTCCGGATCATCATCACCCTCCGCATCTGCATCATCTTCGGCAGTGAGTGCCTGGCGAATTCGGGAGGTGGCACGTGTGCTGACCGGTGCCCTCGACCGAGTTCTGTATTTTACCTGCGTAGGGGGGGCGTTGTTCTTCAGGGTGCCATTCTGGGCCTTCTTCTCTGCGGCAGCAGCAGCCTTAACCCCTTTGAGGGCGACGGCAGCCCGCAGAAGGCACTGCTGCTCCGTGGACAGACGGACGCACTTGGTCTTCTTGCCATCGCAGTTGCGACAGCACTTCCGGACCTCACTGTTCTTCTTGCCCAGCATCATGGTGCAAGGGACGTCGTCCTTGATGCACCGCTCACATTGGGTCAGGAAGAGGCGCATGGGGTGCGTGTCCTCAGCAGACTATGCAAAGTTAGGAAGATATTTTAGAATAAAACAAAAAACACTCACATCTTCATCGCTGACCGAGGGCGGCAGTGTCGCGGTCTTCCGGACTGCCAGCTCCATCTTGAGCTTCTTCGGCAATGGTGCGCGTACCACCATGATAACATCTCCTTCCGGTGCCGAAGGTTCGGGATCGGGAGTCGAGGCCTTGTGCTTTGTACCCGGCACAAAGAGATTGTGTTTGGGGGTGGGGGCAGGGGCGGGGGTGGGTGGTGGTGATGGTGTGGGTGTGGGAGAAGTGATGGGGGAGAGGGTCATCGATGCCTCTCGGGTCGATGTAGTAGCCGGTGGGACGGGTGAAGCCAGGCGAGCCTCCTGTGTCGATGGACCAGCTGGGTGGGTGTAGCCGACAGTCTTGTGGAAAAGGGGGTGAACCCGGATGTGAGGGTCATCATCCGAGATCTGCGTCCAGTCGGGCAGACCCCTCAGCTTACCATTCGGACCGCTGTTGTCCCGGATCTTGGCTGCGCAAGACAGAAGCCTTGGAGTGAAGGAAGTCGCAGCATTCCCATATTGGGTGAATGCACCAACCTGAAAAGAAGATCGACCGGGTCATCAAAAGTCAAAAATGAAAAAAAAAGAAGACTTACCAAAGTGATGGCAATCTCATGTGCCAATGACTTGGCAGCCGCATCACCTTGCTTCAACTTTTCCGACTGGGTGATCAGCCGGGCAATCTTGTCAGAGACAAGGTCGAGAGCATCATTGGCATCTTGAGTGGAAGACATTGTGAAAAATAAGCAGCAGGAGTAAAGTGCGGGTTCAGATTGTGAATGAAAAATTTGGAGGAAAATGTCGGAGCACAAGTTCAGATGAGGTATATATAGGAACAACCTTTGCGGCCACAGCATGCCCACGGGAATTGCCGGAACCATGTGCCCATTGTTCTATCACCGCCAATATATTGAATAATGCTACCATTGCCGCAGCCCTTATCAAGTGCCATTGTTGACTTGGCCAACGTGTCAACGACCGGACCACCGCACCCACAAGACCCACTAGTGGACCTTTCTGCCGTCCCTATTTAATTCGTCCTTCCCGAACCTGAGCACACATCTGCCAGACCGCACAATGTCAACCCGACGAGTGCATTTTTCGAGTCCTCTAGAAACTACTCAGCAACACGTGGCCTCGGCTGGTAAGTCATCCGCCGAAGTTCAATGCAAGGCATCCCTTGCAGAATGGTAGGGTGATTTTGTGCCCATAGACCAGTGGGAGCCGCCGAGGGTGCGGTCGCGATTCCAGCACCTGCAATTTAGAAGTACGTCCATTCATTTATCTTCTGATGTTCTTCGGGGGCAATGAGCTGACCGGATCTAGGATACGACATGAGTCCAGAGACTCGGATCGAGACTCTCGACAGCCGCATTGGAGATTTGACTCCCGATGAATATGAGCGCTCTTTCGCCGGGGTGGAGGAGTCGATTCAGGAACTGGCTGGTAAGTCATTATCAATGCTTCTACTGAACTCTCCTAACATCACACAACTCAACAGCCATGTTCGACAAGTCCCGGGGCATGTCCAAACCATCAACACCCGAACGATCTGCAGACTTGGACAAAGAGGTCGATGGGCTGGTAGACAACAGTCCATCATATGATCTTGGGTGGAACATCCCATCCGCTGCATCGTCCAGCAACCCATCTCCCTCGGTAGATGATAACACCGGAGGTAAGTGTTTTTGGTTAGTTCTTACTGTACACATATAATTGACAACGTACAATGATGAAGATGACGGTGACGAAGAAGGCCTGGGGTATGATCTCGGGTGGGGCCCAAATGTGACTTCGGGTCAACCACCTGAAGTTGTGATGGATGAAGACGATGCGCCGGCGTACGATCTCGGATGGGGATCGACACATTCGGGTGAACAGCCCGTTCAGCAAGATGCGATCAATGGTGCTGGTGATGGACATGGGTATGACCTTGGATGGGGACCAGCACCTGCTGGTGAACACCGGATGGAAGAAGAAGATGACGATGACGAACCCTCGTACGATCTCGGGTGAGCCCCTTCAGTGACAAATCCCGTACTATACGGGTCACCCAACCTACATAATATCCCGTGTAATACACGCCAGCGGATTATGGGCCGATGTTATGTATATTCCCGATGTTGACGGGTGGGCTGGGAGAAATATTATTTCCGATGTTGACAGGTGGGCCCATCTATGCTGATGTTATATATATCATCGACGATGGCGGATGGGCCGGGAGAAATATTATTATGGAGATGGGTGGGCCCATGTGGGTAATATGTAGAGTAGGATTGACATATATTATAGACCTGAGGAGAGATGTATAGCAAATATTATTATATAGATGGATGGGCCGAGGGAGCGGTGGAATATTTATTACATAGACAGGTGGGCCGATGTAGGGAAATATTAGATAGACGGGTGGGCCGACATGGGGTATTTTACTTAGACAGGTGGGCCGACGTGGGGTATTATTAGGTAGATGGGTGGGCCGAGGGTGAGGCGAATTATTTATTACATAGATGGGTGGGCCAACGTAGGGGTATATTAGATAGACAGGTGTGCCGAGGGTGAGGTGAAATATTTATTATATAGACAGGTGGGCCAATGTGGGTTAATATTAGATAGACAGGTGGGCTGAGGGTGAGGTGAATTATTTATAACATAGACGGGTGGGCCGACGTAGGGAAATATTAGATAGACAGGTGGGCCGAAGTGGGGAATTTTACCTAGATGGGTGGGCCGATGTCGGGTAATATTAGACAGATGGGTGGGCCCAGATACATATCATATAGGAGTTTTGAATTTCAAGTCGAGTACCGACACCCAACACCCGAGTACTGAGTACCGAGTCATGCTCGCTTAAGGCACTCACACGGCTTCGACTCTTAGAGTCTCGATACATCATCCCATTCAACTCCCCTGCTTCATCTGTAATCGACTCTACTATGCGAGTCTTGTTGCTGGCTGACATGAGTCTCATCTGCAACTCTTAGCTAAGGGTTTACCCCAAATCTGTTCCATTGTACTACTCTCATTCACCCTTGTATTCCTCTCTTCACCCATGTTCTCCATCTCAAATCTTACCGCCATTTCATTCCCCTCTTCCAAATCCCCCCAAATCACCTGTGTTTTCTCTTCCCTTTCCATCCTCACGCACAGCCATATATATTTTTAGAAGATAGCTCTATGTCATATAGCAGTTTTTCGTCAGTCATTGTTTGTATACTTAATGACGATGTACGAACATAATATCATGAAAACTCAGATTTATACGAGTTTCGAGTTTCAAGATTCAAGATTTGAGTTTTGAGTTTCGAATCGAGTACCAACACCCAACACCTGACACCCAAGTACCGACACCCGACACCCGAGATTTGGTACTCGGTACTTGGTACTCAGTGATTCGAGTTTCGGGTTTCAAGATTCAAGTTTTGAGTTTTGAGTTTTGAGTTTTGAGTTTTGAGTTTTGAGTTTTGAGTCGAGTACCGACACCCAACACCCAACACCCAACACCCGACACCCGAGTACCGATGATACACACGAATCACTGAGTACCAAGTACTGAATCTTGGGTGTTGGGTGTTGGTACTCGGTACTCAGTACTCGGGTGTCAGGTGTCGGTACTCAACTCGAAACTCGAAACTCGCATAAATCTGAGTTTCGAATCCCAAGACTTGAATCACCGAGTGCTGAGTACCGAGTACCGAGTACCAAGTACCGATTCTCGGGTGTCAGTACTCGGTAGTCAGCACTTTGTTTCAGGTTTCGAATTTCGAATGTCAACACGAATCAACTGAATCTCAGGTGTCGGTACTTGGTACTCGGGTGTTGGGTGTCAGTACTCGACTCGAAACTCGAAACTCGAACACATGAATCACTGAGTACCGAGTACCGAATCTCAAGTGTCGGGTGTCGGGTCTCGGTACTGGGAACTCAGTCACTCAATCAATGGACTGGCAGAGGTTACATTCATTGAAAACTTGTATATACATCTATCACTATGCAATTATGTAGGCATGTCAACCTCCTCAGAAGACTCTTCAACCTTCACCTCCACCTCAACATCCATGTCATCAGAAGAGTTATATTCTGGGACAAGGTTGCTCAGATCACCTGGGTCCACAATTTCGCTGGACGCATCTGGATCCTCTGGATGAGCAACTTGGTTGTAATCAAACAGGAGGCCATCAATGGCAGAGGCATCCGGGACTGTTGCAGTTGCGGTTGTGGGAGCAATGCCTTCCATTGTGAGATCAATGAGAGGTGGGAGTGCAGATTCGGCGGGTGACATGGTGGGGGGGCCGGATTGATCAAGCAACAAGGATGATGCATTGGCAGGAGGATCAGGCAGTGGGAATGAGGGGTGCCAGTGCATGATTTCGTGCCTAAGGCCTTCATGAAGGCGTTGCAGGGTATCAATCTTACCATCCTGCTCTGCCACACGATCCTCCAGAAGAGCGATTCGAGCTGCGCCTTGACAAATCGCAATGGCCATGGAATGGAGATCCAGCATGGGCACGTCAAGCGCTGCAGCAGGGACTGCCGGGCCACGTGCTGCAGCCGGGACTGCCGAACTCGAGGCCAGAAGAGCTAGAATGGAAACCTAAGGTCAGACGATGATAAAAATAAACCTCGGGTGACTTACGAGCTGGTTCAGGTGCAGGTGCCTTGACGGCAGTGATGGTCTTGCTGCGACCACACATCTGGGTCTTGGGGGTTGTCACTGCAGTGACACCGGGAGTTCTGGACATGCCACAAGACTGACTTTGAGTTCGGGCCATGGATTGGGAGGCAGGGGGAGCTTTGGAGGGGGCAGGGGTTTGGGACGCGGGGGGAGCCTTGGAGGGAGCCTTGGAGGGAGCCCTGGAGGGAGCCCTGGATGGTGTCCTGGACCTCGTCTTCCGGGTGGTAGAGGAGGCACCACTGCGAGGAGGCAGGGATCCCATAGACGTGGGGGTGCACTTGATCTTCTTTGTCATGCAGTAGATGCACGACATACATGGAGCCCCAGTCCTCTTGTCCATCTGAGTTGCGCAAGGCCATTGTAGCTTGTTGCAAGCGTAGCATGGGTTTTTCTGTGAGTTGTATTAGTGTATGGATACACTTGAGATATATAAAATTACTCACCGGTCTGGGAATGAGAATGTCAACTGCAGGGATGACCGGGGGTGCCTGCACTGGGGGTTCGGGAGTTGGCCAGGAGGGCTCAACGACTGCTGGGCGACTGCCGGCAATCACCTGGTAAACAGTAAGCATTCACCCGAGTCCCGGACGCGTAAGTGTGACTTACCATGGCAGGGCCAAAGGGTTTTTTTGTCGGAACCCTGGGTGATCGAGGCGAATTGGGCGTCCTTGCGATAACTGTGGAGAGCAGGGGAACGACAGCCTCCGGCACTCCACCCAAAAACAGCTACAAGAAAATGTGAGACAAGTAAAAGAAGAACGAGATGACATACCTTGACAATCGTGTCTTCCTCATCTTCCGACTCCACCATGGGCTTGGACTTCACCACGCGAGCTGACCTCTGACGCTTGTGACTCTTCATCGCGGATTTTGGGGGTTGGGAGGGTGGTCCCAAAATCAAGGGGGACTTCCTCTTATTACTGTCTTCTGCCTCAGGCTCCAGGTCAGTGAAGATGGCCTTACCTTTCCCCTTGTCCCGGAACTCGGTGGTGGGGTTGGTGGAAGGGCCGGTGACATTGCCGGTAGGGATGGCTGGGGAGGGAATGTTGACTGGAATCGGACCTGTGGATGGGGGGGCAGCAGTTGGGAGATCAAAGGTCCGGTCACCTATGGCCTCCCAGGCGAGGACCTTGGGGTGCCAGGGGTGCCTCAAAACACAGGGATCATCATACCCGATGGTGTGCCAGTCGGGCCAGACCTTGGGAACCATGCTCCGGATGTGGTGTAGCTCTTTGAGGCACGAAATGATGAGTCCGGGAATAGGACCATCCCCGGACCCATACTCCTTTGCTACATTAGACTACCTGGATGTTGGAGACAAAAAAAAAACACAAACAAAAAAAATACATACCACAAGTGTACCAACCTGTTTTCCCAGAGCTGAGTGGCTGGGACCCAGGGGAATCTGCCAGGCGGCACTGATGATGGCCATGATCTGGGCAGTGGAATTCTTGAGATCTGCAGACAAGCCGGAGCTCGATGTCGAAGATGTATGTTTGATGGTCCGGGAGCTCCATCCTTTCGGAAAATACGAACACCCAGAATGTGAGTATCTGAAAGCAGAGCATTTATCTTTTTGCTAATCTTTCTGGAAGACCAATCCGTCCGAGATCGACTTGGTGATTACAAACACTGTACTGGAGGTCGCTTCCTGACCCTTCCATCCAACAACTAATGGAGGCTGAGCGACCCATTCCAAACTGCTTGGGCGGAAACTTCTGACAAACTCGATAAAAGCTGATGCAGACCTACAGAGTTACAAAGAGTTGAACAGATGAGCATTGAAATGCTCAAGGTAGTAGATTCCATGATTCAACACTTTGAAGAACAAATGACTATGTAAATTACCTTATTACAACCTCTGAATTTTCATTGATATCCCCACATCATGTACACTACCGGATCTTTCAATGCATGTCACCGGGCGTTGTACAGGACTCAGTGTTTGATAGTCGGGACTCGATGTTCGATAGTCGGGATTCAATGGTCAATGTTCGGGACTTGGTGTTCAATGGTAGGGATTCGATGTTCGGGACTCGGTTGTT